ATTTATATGTTTGTACTTAGTGTAGATTAGGGTATTGTCAGTACCTTTCGCGAGAATTTAAATATTTAGAGAGAATTTAAATATTTGCAAAAATAATTATGCTAGATCCAAAATTTTTGCAAATAAACAATTCTTAGGGATCCATTTAAATATTGGGGCACCCAAAGTTTTTTTTTTAAAAACTCAGAGGTTTTCAAAAGTAGGAAAGTTGCTCATATTATTCAGACCACTAGGAGAACTCTAAGTTATCTCAAAAAAATAACAATAGTTAAGCAAAAAACCTGACAATTAGAACTATTTTGTGGAATATGATTCGTAAAACTTATCATTTTTTTTTTTTTTTAATTTTTTGCCGTAGAAAGTTACAATTTATAAAATAACATAAATAATAAAACAAATGGCTGGAGCAAGAAGAAGACATCAGTTTGTCTTATCACCGAGCCCCATAGTGACTTCATTACAGGTCGTTTTTTATAACAAAATATATAAAATCGTGATAAATTGTTTGTAATAAAATATGTAAAAATGTAAAAAACTACGTTTTACAATTGATATAACTGTTTATATATAAATTCGTTTAGTAAAATAAATTTAGAACAAGTAAAAGTTAAAAATAAAAGAAATAAATTGTGCTAGTTTATTTTTTACTCAAAAAGAAAAAGAAAATTTAAGTCCGTAGATAATAAAAAACGCTTTGATTAAAAGATCAAATTTTAAACCACTTTTATTAAAGCAACTATGTTTAACGCAAAAATAAAAAAAGTAATAAAAATAAAAATTACTTTTTTATTTTTTGTTATTTTTTCAATTTTATTAACTCAAACCTTTAAACGTTGAAATTACAAATTTTTTGAATTTAAATTACAGAAAGATATTTAGTACTGTTAAAATATTAAAAAATTTTACTATATTTGTTTTTATTTAAAAAGCAATTAAAACCACTGCAATTTTAGGACTTTTAACTAGGTAATTTCAATGAAAAACTCTGGGCAATTTAAGCATTCTCATATTATACAAAAATGGTATCTTTAATTTAAAAAAATTCAAAACTAAATGTATCTACACATTGTTTTTCGAACAAAAATAAAACGGATTTCTAAATTGGAAACCCGTTTTAATTTTAGTATAAATAGTATAAATTTTATTTGTTACAAAACAAAACTACACATGCTTACGTAATTATTTTTTCTCTTCTCCTTTTCCGTAGAAAAAAGTATGACCTTAAAGTATGACCTTAAAGTATGACCTTAAAGCATGACCTTAAAGTATGACCTTAAAGTATGACCTTAAAGTATGACCTTAAAGTATGACCTTAAAGGCACTGTATCATAATCAGAAAGATGCTTTAAGAATAATAAATTTTAAAAACAAAAAAGGAACTTGCAAAACCATATTTTGAAATTATTAACACTTTTACACTATTCGAGCAAAACATTTTTAACATTTTATGCGTGTCGTTTAGCCAATAAAAATCTGCACCAACTAACTTGATCTACAAAATGAAACATCTACTAAAAATTGGAAATAGTTTTAGATGTCCTACTGAGGCCTAAATTGTTTTCAACCGATTATAGTCCTTTTTATTTTCAACCGATTTTTTTTTTCAACCAATTTTAGATTTTAGAATCAAATATTCGATTATAGGCGATATACATTTCAATCTACTACACCTTTTGAAGATGTAATTAAGAACTTGAAAGTTGTAATTAAGAAGCGTAAGATGTAATTTAGAAGATAAAAGATGTAATTGAGAAACATAAAATATAACTTAGAACATGAAAGTTGTAAATAAGAAATCGTAAGATGTAATTGAGAAAATTAAAGTTATAATTGAGAAAAGTTTATAATATAGATTATCAGAAAAAAGCTCTTTGTATTTTTATTTTGTTGCCTTAGTTTTTCTTGTGATATTAGGTCGGATCCTAATTTGGCCATGGTGGCCATATGTGTTGGTTTTTAATAAATAGTTATATATTATCAATAAAATAAAAAAGTGATGAGAAAGACATTTGAGGTTTTGGCGGTAACTACAACTCTTCCAATGAAATTTAAATGTCCGTTGCGGACCTTATTGAATGCTGTCTTATATTTGACACCTAGAGTTTGCACCAGAGTCATCCAATCGTCATTTCGCTCAACACATTCAATAACTCTTTTTCTATCATTCAATGAAGACAGAATATAATGTTTATTTTTTCAACTTGTTCAGCTGTATGTATTTCATGTCTACAAATTGGACAAGCTGGTTCTGGATGTTCCAGAATTGCTAGTAAACAAACTTGGTGAAACAAATGCTTGCACGGATTCAATAACAGACTTTCTGTTCATAGTGTATTAACAAATAACACAACGATCTTTCAATTGCATTACTATATTACTGTATTGCTGGTGCATACAAATGCTAAATTTGATATTATTAACTTATAACAATTTCACGCCACCTTGTATACCTTAGACTAGGCATCAAAACTTGGACCTCTCGTTTCTGAAGGTAGGGCTCCAGTCACTGCGCCACGGCTGATTAAATTCAGCTCTGATTCAAATCAACAAAAATTATAGACGTAGTTACAAAGTTGATTGAAAAAAGAGTAGGTCAAAAATAACAGTTGGTTGAAAATACAGTAGGTTGAAAATTCAGTAGGTTGAAAATGCAGCAGGATGAAAAATTAGTTCATGTTTTAGTTACTTTTAAGTATGAAAAATCAAAAATTGTAGGTTTAAAATCAAAATTTTATTATAATCTATGATTTTAGAAAATTTTATCATATTCTATGATTTTAAAAATTTTAAAATTAGGTCCAATTATAGGACATTATTTTAAGAACCATGTACGCAAGTAAATTTCAACGAAGCCCCTCAGCTTTTGATGATTTCTATAAATTAAAACCTAGCTTTAAATATACTTTAAGCACAAATAACTCTATAATTGAACTTTTATGCAAAACTTATTGGAGCAATTTAAAATTACATGTCTTACTCCTGATACTTGGAACAAAATCTTAGCGAAAAAAAGTAATATAGCATATGTCAAAAATAAAAACTGCTTTCAAAAGCTAATTTGAAAAGTTACTTTAGATTATATAAATCTTATAAAAGATTTATTTTAAACTTCATATTTGTTATTTATAACTTTGAAAATTTTTTAGTAAGTTTTTTTTTTAACGTATATTTATTTATAAGAATTTGACCTATTGATGTTGCACAATCCATGCGTAGTCGTAAGAATAATTCATATCATACTTCTTTTTATGATTTTAATCCATGGTTACTCGCGTAGGTTTATTGTTAATTAAAATACATTTGTGGATTGACAAATGACGTGATAAAAACCATTAACATGTTGGTTAACGTCATAGTCTAAGATATTGAGATTAATTTTTTCTTTGTTAACGTCATTGTCTAAGACATTGAGATTAATGTCACGAACAAATAAAGATGTTTGTTTTATTTGTTGATGCTAAACGCGTTGTTTTTCCTGAAAGCGGTCTGTAAAACACTTACACGAGCAAAGAACCGTGGTTCCTAATTCTATGTTCTGCTAAACAGTATTTCGTCTGGTTTAAACCTTAATCAAAAAATCATGTAGAAAAATATTTTATAAACATTTTTAATAACAGGGGTACTAAACTGCTTTTGTAACGTAAGTGTAACTGTAAAAACCTAATTTAAAACAATTTTAAAACTTTTTAAAAAGGTAGAAAATTAATAAAAAAAACCCTAACACTACGCAATTTTCCATTGCTTTTTTAATAACATCAAAGTAAAGCCGCAGGAACATATTTGTTCCGGTAGATAATAAAATGCATTAGCGCAAAAACCAAAGTTTTCTCATGGTTCATGGGGAAAAAAGTCAGACTGAATTAAACATAAGTTATTAGAATAAAATATGTTTTATGCAATAAATTAAATCTTATTAGGAAAAAATTATTTTTTTGACAGTACTAACGTTATTCAAAAATTTAGTTTTTATATTTCCTGATCATTTCTTTTCGTGGTCTTTTTCTCCCTACCTCTATATAAGACCTTTTTTTGTGTTAAAATTAAATCTTTATCAAAAGGTTTGGTAAGAATGAATAAATCAATATGATAGTATTAAAGCTGTCAAAAATATAATGATGACCTGCTAATCCAAATTATTTTTCACAAAAATGATTTGATTTAAAAAAATGTTTTTAAATGATTTGATTTAAAAAATGCCTGTTGATACACATAAAACTGTTAGTTCTTAAAGAAAAAACTTCAAAGGGCGATGTAAGACTATGTTATAAGCATTAAAATAAACCACTCGTTTGAAAATAATCTTTCAGGTCAAAATTATATAAATTTTTCTTTAAAAATCAAGGCCTGTGGCTTAGATAAACAAAGCTCAAAAAATTTTTATAACCTGAAGCTTTATGTTGAAAATCAATATGAATCAAATAGCATCTAAAACTGAGATAAATCTAGACAAACATGTTTTTGCTTTTAATATCTAATAGAGGTAAATCTAGAAACATAATTCCTTACCCAATGTCATGTCAATTTATTTACCTTTTTTTCCTGTGTTTATTCTTATTTTATATTATCTTCATTTTTGTAACAATGTTACAAAAGTTTTAATTGGATAACGTGTTATATCTTTGGTAACTAGTGGCAACAACAGCCAAAATAGCACTTTCTGTTAGTCGTGTTTTCTATTAGTGATACTATATATCCCCAATGTTAGTTTTAAACAAAAATTGAACGTTTTAAGTGTTGCATTGTCCCGTATTACCCTACCGATTGTACCAACGTCCGATACAAACATATTTTAATGCTTTAAAACATTTTGTTCTCTTGTATTAAAGCCTTTGAGTTTGGAAAAATAAAAATGCACAGGACCGCAAATAAAACTGTTATTAACTCCTTAAAGAAATAAATTTTTAGTTTTAATTAATTCAAAAGATACTATTAACGTTTCGAGTAATAAAAAAAAAAAAAAGGAAAAAAAAGAAAAATGTAAATTATAAAAATAAACATACATCTTTTTTATCTACCAACCGATCAGTTTCTTTAAATATAAAAACGCATCCGTACTTTGGTTGAGCAAACAGCAAACCTTTTTGCATTAAAAAGTCATCGTAGTAATCGACATTTTTTGCCATATTTACTATATTAGTTAATACAATATAAACTTTGCTGCAACAAAGTTTTAACAAAGGTTTGTACGTGATCAAGTAATACAGATAAGAAACTCCAATTTCAACTTGTTTAAAATAATAATAGTCTCGAATTGAAGTTTCACTTTAAAACAAATCACCAGATTAGATGACATCAAACTTATCTAATTAAACGCTTTCCTCAAGTAATCCAAAGTAATTTTTAAGGATCCAATAATCATTGAATATTTTCATACATAAGTGAATCTTTTGAGTATTCAAGATTTTTAGAGACGTATTTAACATTATATATATATATATATATATATATATATATATATATATATATATATATATATATATATATATATATATATATATATATATATATATATATATATATATATATATATTTAATAAATAAAAGTTATATATTTATAAAACTATTCCTTTTTACCAACTAAAACTAATATAAATATTTGACTTCAAATCGCAACCCGAGTGCGATTTAAAGTCAAATATTTATTCTCCATTTTAAAATGTTGGGAGAAAATATTAAGTGTTCTTTTAAAGATAACAATTATTTATGCAATAAATTTTAAATTTTAATAATAACTATTGAAAATATTATTTGCTATTAAATTTACTAATTATTTATAAGAATAAAAGAAAATTTATTAAAAAAATAAAAAAATCAAAAGTTTTATTTTTATTTTTTGAAAATTAACGCGGAAAAGTTCTTTTAACATTTTAAAATAACAACAACAACAACAACAAGATATTTATTTTCCTTTTTCAAAATTTACATGTAATCATATAATAACAATAATAATAATAATAATATTATCTATAACAGTAGAAACAATATAATTATAATAAAATTTAACTAATAAGAATAAATATAAATAGTTATTTGAAAAGGAAGGTGTCACTCAAACAGAAGCCGGATCAAAGGAGCCACACTAAATAATTATAACAATAATTAAAAAATAGTAATATTATCTATAACAATACAAATAAAATAATTATATTAAAATATATCTAATAAGAATAAATATAAATAATTAGTTGAAAAGGAAGGTGTCACTCAAACAGAAGCCTGATCAAAGGAGTGACACCAAATAATTATAACAATAATAATTAAAAATAATAATATTATCTATAATAATATAAATAATACGATGACATGAGTGTCATTCATAATCAAAATGAGTGACACCAATTAAATATAATAATTAGTATAATAATAAAATAATTATAAAAATAATAAATATGAACCGAAAATCGCTAAGAAAATAAATAAAATAATAATAATAACGATAAAGCGATACGATAAAAACAATAACGATAAACAACGATAAGTTAAATAATAAGACAAAAAAATATGAAAACACTCAATAACAACAACAAATAAAAATAAAAATAATAAGCAAAACAGAACAAATAAAAAACAAACCTTACACAAACGAAAAAGCAAAACACGAAAACAACAAGATGAAACAAAAAAACAACAAAACGAAAAGGCAAACACAAACACTTCTACAAAAAAAAAAAAAAGCTGAAGAAAATTTGGTAAAGTAGAAAAACATGATTTTTTTTTTTTTTTTTGTTATTTTTTTATTTATTTATTTTTTCTTCTCCAGGTATACCATGTAAAATATACATTTATTACCGTAATAAAAAGAAAAAATATATACTAGGTTGGTTGAAAAGATTCAAAAAATGACTTTATTCTTCAGTATATTCTCCCTTAAGAGCAATACACTTTTTCCAACGATTCTCCAATTCATGTATCCCATCTCTGAAGTGCGATTCCGGAAGGCCTTCAAAATACCCATTTACGGCTGCAATGACTTCTTCATGTGATGAGAAACGTTTTCCACGTAGAAATTTTTTGAGATGTGGAAAGAGGTGGAAGTCGGACGGAGCCAGATCTGGTGAATAGGGTGGATGTTCCAAGCGTTCGTACTTTAATTCGACCAATTTCGCCTTTGCAACATCGCTGATATGAGCAGGTGCGTTGTCCTGGTGATAAATGATTTTTTTATGCAGCAAACCAGGTCTTTTCTCACGAATTTTTTTATCCAACTGGTCCAAAAGATTTTTATAATATTCACCTGTTATCGTTTTACCGGTTTGAAGGTAATCTATTAATAAAATTCCTTTCGCATCCCAAAAAACTGATGCCATAACCTTCTTTGACGATTTTGACGCCTTCACTTGCTTCGGAGCTGAACAACCGGGTTCTGTCCACTCTGCAGTTTGTTGTCGCAGCTTCGGATCATAGTGGTAAACCCAAGTCTCATCCATGGTTACGAATCGACGCACAAAATCTGTTTTATTCTTTTGAAAACGGGCCAAATGTTCTTGAGAAAGTTTTACTCGAGTGCGTTTCTGATCCAGAGTTAGCGAATGCGGCACCCATCTTGCCAACAGCTTTCTCAGACGTAATTCATCGTGCAAGATGTGTAATACCCGTTCATCTGAGATGCCCACAGCCTCAGCAATTTCACGTTTGGTCAATCGTCTATCATCCATAACCATGTCATGCACAGCATTAATCGTTTCTTCAGTAGTAGCACTTTTTGGACGTCCAGAGCGAGGGTCATCTTCAAGGCTTGAACGCCCACGTTGAAACTCCGCAGCCCATTTGCATACTGTTGTTTTTGAAGGAGCATCATCACCCAACACATTTACCATTTCATTATGAATTTCCATGGGCTTTAAACCTTTTTTCACAAAGAATTTTATTACAGCACGATGTTCAATATTTTCCATTTTAAAAAATACTATGACACGTCTAATTTCAATAGCTTGTAAACAAAGACTGAAATGACATATCGACTTGAAATTTTTTATGCGTTCATACGAAGAATGAATACGTTTAATACAGTTATAAATTTGTTTCTACTACTGCAACATAGGTGCCGCTCCGCGAACTTTTCAACCAACCTAGTATATAATTATTACGTATCAGATTGATAAAAATACATTAATATAACTTTGATACATTAATATAGTATTGATACAAACTTAATATAAATTCTGGTATAATATATGTTTATTTTTTTCTATACTTTAATACCTAAAAAAAAGAAATCAAAGAAGATTCAGCATTTTTGGGTATAAAACTCCAAAAAAAATCTTTTCGCAGATTCCCTTAATAGCGCCGTTTGGCGTATATCTATGCCTATATAAAAAGTTATTTAAGTAAAACTATAAATAATTTTTTGTAATTAGCTTTGTAATTACTATTTCTACTGTTATATATATATATATATATATATATATATATATATATATATATATATATATATATATATATATATATATATATATATATATATATATGTATATATATATATATATATATATATATATATATATATATATATATATATATATATATGTATATATATATATATATATATATATATATATATACATATATATATATATATATATATATATATATATATATATATATATATATATATATATATATATATATATATATATATATATATATATATATATAACAAACAACAAGGTGGAGGTGTTGCAATTTTTACAAAATATGATATAATTGCTTATGAGGTATCAGTTTCACCTTTATATAAAGAAGTTGAACAAATATGGTGTAGCATTGTACTTCATAAAACAAAAATATTAGTTGGATGTATATACAGACCACCAAACAGTACTGACCTAATAAATAATGCAATTAATGAATTAGTAAAAACTGCAAAAAAGGAAGTAATGAATGGAAAATACTCAAATGTAATAACTGTTGGTGATTTTAATTACACAAATATTATTTGGAGTGAAGACGGAACTATCGAGCTAAAGCAAAACTGCCAAACAAGTAGAGCATTTATTAATAACTTGCAAAACAATTATTTACATCAAGTAGTTAACAAGCCAACTTTTCAAATGGCTGTTGATAAACCAGCAAATATATTAGATTTAATAATATGTGACGATCTAGATTTAATAATTAACATTGAATATGATGCTCCACTTGGTCAAATTACTAAAAGCCATTACATATTAAAATGGGAAATTAACATACTCAATTCATATGAGAAAAAATTCAACAATAAGAGATTTAATTTTCGAAACGGAAAGTACAAAGAAATGAATCTCATGTTTTATAAAGTAAATTGGGTTAAAATCTTTGACAAAATGAATACAAATCAATGTTATGAATACTTTTTAAAAATTTATGAAAAAGCTTGCAAACAATATATTCTTCGCCACTTCAAACCCACTAGTTCTATCCAAAATCCATGCATTAATAAAAAAATCAAGAATCTAGTTAGAAAAAAACGTAGTTTATGGTGCAGAGTTCATGCTACAAACTTCAAGAACACAAACTTAAATAATGAATACAAACTTATCAACAAAACAATTAAAAAACAAATTAAAAAATCTACTTTTGATTATGAAATAAACTTAGCAAAAGATGTAAAACATAATCCAAAACGCTTCTATGCATATGCACAAAGAAAAAACCAGACACATACAAAATTGTTAGCACTTAAAACTAGTGACAACAAAATAATAACTGATAAAAAAGTAATTGCTAATCTACTAAATTGTAGTTTCCAATCAGTATTTGTCAAAGAAAATCAAGATTTACCATATTTCAGCAATAAAACTAGTCATTTATTTGAATGTGACTGGGACCAAGAACTAAAAGAAGATATTATATTTAATTATTTATTAGAACTTAATGAAAACAAGTCACTTGGTTGTGATAACATCAGTCCCTATGTGCTAAAGCATTGTGCAGAAGGATTATCCAAACCTTTGTGTTTAATATTCAAGAAATCGATACATTCAGGAGAGCTGCCAGAATTATGAAATTTGCAAACATTACACCACTTTTTAAAAAAGGAGACAAGAAAGATCCACTCAACTACAGGCCTATCTCCTTAACATCGATACCAAGTAAGATAATAGAGAAAATAATTAGAAAAAAACTAATAATTTATATAACAAAAAACAATCTGTTAACGTCTCAACAACATGGATTTATACAAAATAAAGGGTGCCTAACAAACCTATTAGAAACTTCGATATTATTACAACTGAAATTGAAAATGGTTATCCAGTTGATATATTGTTCCTAGATTTTGCAAACTAAAATCATATCTGTTATAAAAGAACATAATGATCTAACTAATATGCAAAATGACATTGATTTGTTAACTGAATGGTCAAATGTATGGTTAATGGACTTTAACATAAATAAATGCAGTGTTATGCACATTGAAAGAAAAAATATTAACTATAACTACACTATAAAGCACGACAATCAAAGTTTTATTCTAAAAACAACAACAAAAGAACTAGACTTGGGTGTAATAGTTTCATCCAATATGAAATGGAATCATCAGGTTCAAGTAGCTACAAGTAAAGGACAAAGAATCTTATGTTTAATAAGAAAAAGCTTTACTTATCTTAACACTGAAATGGTAAGGCTACTATACACATCGTTGGTTAGACCACACTTGGAATTCGCAGCTCCAGTGTGGAGTCCAAGTAATAAAACGAGCAACAAAGCTAGCCCCTGAACTAAAACATCTAAGTTATACCGAAAGATTGACAAAGTTGGGCCTCACAACTCTGGAAACAAGACGTATAAGAGGAGATCTCATTGCTTTATTTAAATTAACAACTGGGATTGATAAGATATTATGGTATAAAGAGCCTAATAAAGCTTCTTCCCAGAGACTTCGAGGTCATCCAATAAAATTTGGAAGAGAATTTGCAAAAACAACACCGAGACATAATTTTTTTACGAACAGAGTGATACCTCATTGGAATGCTTTACCTGAAAAAGTGGTTTCTGCAATGACAGTAAATTCTTTTAAAGCTAGACTAGATAAATATTTGTTAACGGCTGTTAAAGTATAAATTTTAAACTTTATACTCCGCGACAATCGTCGTTACAGCAGTTTGTATTACTATTACTATATATATATATATACATATACATACATACACACACACATACACACATACATACAAATATATACATATATATATATACATTTACATACACACACATACACACACACACATATATATATATATATATATATATATATATATATATATATATATATATATATATATATATATATATATATATATATATATATATATATATATATATTTATATATATATATATACACATATACACATACACACACACACACACATATATATATATAAATTTTATTTATTTATTTTTTATTTTTATTATTATTATTATTTTTTTTTACTTTAATTTTTTTTTTTTTACTTTTTTTTTTTTTTTTTTTTTTTACAAACTAAGAATATGCAGCTTTGCTTGCCGTTTAAACGACGATATTCCATTTAAGTCTTTTAATTTTTGATTTTTCAAGTTTTTCCATATTTTAGGACCCTGTGACATAATTGAAAATTCAGAACCCCGGGTTTTAGTTTTTTTAATATAATAGTTGTGGAAGCTATTTGATCGTAGATTATAACTTTGAGAAAATGATGACGAGAATATGTCTAAAAAAGAATTTGGTAGCATATTATTTTTATATTTGAACATAAAAATAAGAATCTGATATAAATTAAGTTTTTCCAAGTTTAAGACTTTCATATTTGTCATCGCATTGGAAGGATTGTCCATTCTACCTAGATAATGAATTACTTTACAAGCATGGTTTTACAAGCCTTGTAATTTGATTAATTTTGTTTTGTGCGTATTAGCCCACACTATATTAGCATATGTGAGATGACTGTGAATTAAACTAAAGTCAAGTTTTTTTCTTGAACAGATATCAAGAAAGGGGCGACATTTATATAAAATATCTATTGCAGATGATATTTTTTCAATGTTTCCAATATGATTTCTCCATGATAAATTTTCATCAATATGAACACCAAGAAACTTTGCATATTTTTCCCGTTTTATTGTTATGTTGTTAATGAGCAATTCTGGAATTTTTAACGGTAGAGACATTGATTGACCTGTTTTATGAAATAAGATGTAGTAGGATTTTTCACAGTTTGCGGATAGTTTATTTGCTCTAAACCATAAATTAAAGTTTTCCAGTTCAGTATTCATTGTTTCGAACATCAATTCAACAATAAAAATAATTAGCACAAATAATAACAAACTTTACGCAAACGAAAAGAGAAACACAAACAACTACAAAACAAAATCTTTACACAAAATGATAATATTTAACAAATATAATATTTAATAAATATAATTAATGATAGCATTAATTATTTTTTATAATTAAAATAAAAACAAAAAAAATGATTATTATAACAAAGGCTAGCTACAAAAAAATCTTCTAAAACATGATCTTTTCTTTCTTCTCTTCCGCTTTATTGTTGGTTTCTTCTTTTTTTTCTTTTTCTTATCTTTTTCTTTTCTTTTTTAATTTTTATCTTTTCTTTTAGTTAAATTTTTTGGTGAATAAAAATTCGAATTTTTTTTTTTTTTTTTTTTCTATTATTTTTAAAGTTTATATGACGTAAACTCCTTCTCCTTTTTATTTGGACTTCTCCTTTTTATTTGAATTTTTTTCGACGTTTTTTTTTTAATTTATATGCACTTAATTATTATTATTTCTTTTTAATTATTATTATTTCTCGTTAATTTTTCTTCACTTAATTATTATTATTTCTCGTTAATTTTAATTTCTTTCTTTGTAAAATTTTTATTTTTTTAACTTATTAGATTTGTTGTTTAGTTACTAAAATTCTTGTTTATTTTTTAATTAATTTAATAATTTTAATTAATTTAATAAATTTAATAATTAATTAAGTTAATTTCTTTTTTCTTTTTGTTGAAATAAATAAGCTCTCAGGTCACGAAATGCACTAAAAATAGTTTTTATGGTTAATAAAATTTTTTTTTTTCAATTAAAAAGGCGTTTCTACAAATTTTTCTTAATGAAATGCAACCACGTTATCTTTATGAAATGCAACCACGTTATCTAAATTCTTTAAGTCAACGTCAATTTACAGTTTCTCTGCAGTTTGCAAATGCTATCAATAAAAATCGATTCCCCCACATAACCAAACTTGTTTATTTTACACCCGACAGTGTATCACGCAGATTGTTACAAAAAGTGTAAACTTTGTTTAACTTTTAAAAAAAGGTGTAGCAATTTTACTTTAAAATGGGTTTTAGAGAGGCAATTTTATAGTCAAATTGCGTGATTCTCAGCTACAAGCTAAAAACTTTTAACTTTATTTATAAGTTTTTTGACTTTTAGGAGCTTTATCAGCTTTTGAAATGCGGTATTTGATCAACTGGAAATTTGGGATTAAATTTTCTCGGGTGTCTACTGAAATATCAACAAAGTAGGGCGCAGTTCTAGTGACTGTTCTCTTATCCATTTGTTACTGTGCTATCTTTGTTTCATTACTAATATGCTATAATACGCTATCTTTGTTTCATTACTAAAAAAACCGTTTTATCAAGAATTACCCTTGCTAAACATAGTCAAGAAACATTCAGTATTATAGATAATGATTCCGTTGATGTTATCTAAGATATTAGGTGAATTATTATTAGCATAGATTGATGTTACCAAGGAGTTATAATAGCTTAGCTGGAGGGAAAACGAAGTTAAAATACGTCATTTTTCAAAGAAGAATCTTAGTAGTAACATAATTTTCATTTAAACACCGCGGAATTATCATAATTAAAAGTTAACCAATTCCACTTTTAACAAAAGCTATCCAATGATATTGTTTCAAAACGTCATAAGCAATTAAAGCATTACAAATAAAAAAAATGGAAGTTTAAAAAATTTGTAAAGAATATTTAAAATCAGTTTGTTGTTATTTTTTTGTTGTGCTTTTTGAACGACTAATAATAAATTTCTAGATTAGAATTGAATTAATAAATGTATAGATAAGAATTGGTAGTATTTTTGTCATGTATTTTATATCTCTTTATATTTTTGCCATGTATTTTTTATTTAAAATAAAGCAATTTGCTTTTAAATCCAGCAAAAATACTCCAACACAAAATAAAATCCTTGCGGGATTTAATAAGTTCCTGGCCGAAAAAACAGTCTTAAAGAACGTAACTAACCTATAGCTGAACAGGCAAGCAAATAATAAGGTTCAAATAGGTAGTAAAGATTGTCTAAAATTTTGATATTTATACCTATAATTGAGGTACGCAAGAAACAATTACTTCACCTTAATCGTGATTTTTGTTTTAATTAACTTCTTGATTGATCTGATAGTTGTTAAAAACATATCCAAAAAATTTTTACTTTATTAATCCATTTCGATTACAACTCTCAAAGCTTACCGATTACATTTCAAAATTTTTAATTTCTTTGCAAAAGCCCCATTTTGACTTGCTACTGGAATAATTATATTACTAAGACGATAACGCGATTTAAATCCATTTTCGGCTTCGTTCCCCCTCCAGCTAAGCTATTATACCTCCTTGATGTTACTATAAACTTGGTTATATAACAAAAAAAGTATATAATTGACGTCTCCACGTGGGCGCCAATAGATTGATTTAGAAATTAAGATACGGACGTATTATAAAACGCCGTTGTAAAACCATATATATATATATATATATATATATATATATATATATATATATATATATATATATATATATATATATATATATATATATATATATATATATGTATATATATGTATATATACATATATATATATATATATATACATATATATATACATATATATACATATATATATACATATATATATATATATATATATATATATATATATATATATTATATATATATATATATATATATATATATATATATATATATATATATATATATGTATATATGTA